AACAAAGCTGGTACAACAAATGTGTGAACTTTTATTTCTCTGTTATTTATTCCATCTTTCTTAAAAATGAAGTACAATACGTAAAAGTTACAAAGGTCAGTATTCATCATGAAAGGGGTACTCCGGATGATCACTCCACCTGAGTTTTAAAAAAAAGTGTTTACTACCATTAATATCGAGGATTTGGTTCATGCATTAGACAACAAAAAAATGTTTAGATATTTGTCCGTCAAAGCTTGTACTTACATCAGCAACTCAACAAACCGAATATTTTTGTTCAGTGCTTCAATGGCTTTCATTTCTTCCTCAGTCAGTGAAAAATCAAATATCTGAAAAAAATAATTTGCTTCTGTTTAAATTCATTCATTCTTTCATTCATTCAACTGTTTAACCCTTACATACTGTATATATTTCATGTCTTTGCATTATGATTGTAGTCAGTTTGACACATGCCAGGATTCCCAAGTGTCTACAACAAATTCTGAACTACAGATCTATTTAGAGTGTATAAATAGTCTAGCTGGCATTAATGGAGGATTAATTTTTAATTAATGTTTCAAAGAGAAGGGAGAAAAATAACTATTATGCACAATCTCGTGCCCTGATTTACTTTAGACATGAAAATAATAGCGATAACGATTTCATGAGATTTTATTAAAGGTGAAAATGGCAAAACCATTCTGGAACTGGTTGGATTTATTGCATAACCATGTATAATCACTACAAACATTAAAGGCTGTCCTCATGTCTTTGTGAATTCAATATTATTTTAAACTTAGAGTAAAAAACTTGCTTATTGCAAAATAGTCTGAGCATTAAAAGCATTGCCTGTGCAGCATTTGCACGTTTCTTACATTTACTGAAATGGCAGATCAGGTGACTTTATAATCTTATTACCTCTAATCCCTCTTTTGATCCCTGTTTTAATCTCTTTTTAATTTCACTTAGCTCAGACAAAATGGGTCCTAATTAGTTTATTGTCAGATTATTTTCTTACATAATGCTTACTTTTGTTTACAGGTGCAAAGCACAAGCACCAGTCATGTAGGCTAATAATATAATTGCACTTATAACTAAACTTGCCGCAAAACCTACGGATATTTGTGTTTGGTGGATTATTTGTTTGTTGTAACAATGCTTCTTGGCAGTAAATCTCACACTGTTGTAAGGCCTGTTTATTTCCCCTTGACTGTGCCACATGTGTAAGGAAAATGCCTTTGGGGCTTAAACAGCAGAGTTGAGGATGTGGGTTGCGCATCAGCCTACAAAACTTGTAGCACCTGCTCAAAAGTATAACATTTTAAAATAGTTTTAATTTTGGGTCATTTTAGGGAACATCATCAAATTTCAGGCCAGAAAGGTGGCATTTTGGGTATATTTACTGTTCTCCAATGTCAAAATGGTCAAATTTAACCAAAAATGCATGTAAGAGTTAAAAATGTTGGTACAGTACCTGGAAGTTATGTTTGATCCGCTCAGGGTTGAAGCTCTTTGGGATCACTACAACTCCTCTCTGTATGTTGAAGCGCAGGGCCACCTGGGCACAACTTTTGTTGTATTTTTTCCCAGTGGATACAAGCACCTCATCGTCCAGCAGAGGAGGACATTTCAAATTCACCCTATGAAAGAGACACAGTTAAATACGCACCATGCCATTTACCAAATGAATTCTGCTTAGGGTCACGTTGAAGGCTTGGTAACAACAATAATTTGTTTTTATTTTTGCAGTCTCACATTAATACAGTAACAGGGGGGATAAAATCACAATAACCTCACACCAGCCTACATAAGTGTATATATTTTCAAACCTACCAAGACGCATCTCTGGAGGAGCCAATTGGGCAATAGCCAACAATCACGATGTCATTGTGACGACAGTACTCCAGAAGTTTTGGTTGTGTGAAATATGGGTGGCATTCGACCTAAAGGTAAATAAGAAGAAGGGAAAAAGATGACAGGGCTCAGTCTTACAAGTAGGAAAGAAACTGGATGGGAATCAAAAGTAAAATCTATTCCATTTAATCTAGATTAATGAAAGAAAATGTATTTCAGCATAGTGTTTGACTATTTTTTGGCAGAGAGTCTATTTTAGAAATGCCTTCATATTAAAAACCCAGAATACTAATGTATGCTGTACAGTACTATTTTACTTTGCAAACTACCCTCATTGAGATGTCATTAGGGGTCAGGAAACAAACTGGGATCACCTGGTTGGATACGGGTTTGTGTTTGAGACCAGGTTTATTCAGAAGCAGCTCCAGCTGCCTGCGATTGAAGTTGGAGACTCCCAGGGACTTAACCAGTCCAGCATCTTTGCAAGCCTCTAAAGCCTGAAAGAAGAAAATATTAATACCTTATCAAAGACTGATAGCAGTAATCTTTACAGGCTAACTGAGATAGCCAAGAAAAATACAAGACACAAGGAAAATAAACTGTTTATGACACTGTCCTTGAGAGTAATGTGCTGCAGAAAAAAACACTATTATTACCAGTATTAACATGTAAGAACACTTGAATAAGATAAAACAATGCCTACCTAATATTTTATTAGATGCATGCAGTACAAATGCAAATACAAAAGTCGTGAGCCATCTCCCTTTTAAAAAAATATTTTGCAAAATGGGAAATAGGTGCAGACTAACCAAAATATAAAATTATACATATAACAAAATAGAGTTTTTAGAATTCTAACAAGCTTGAAAGTTTATTAGACATGCCCAATTTTATTCTTTAACACAGCCTGCAATTCCCTTAAGTAGTCTTCAAGAATAGTTCTCCAGGCTGCTAGAAGGATATTCAAAGTGTTGACTGCATTTTGTTCCATTCTGTCAAGATGATCCAACACTGCTTCAATAACACTTTTTGACAGAATCACAAACACCACTGGCCGAAATGCGGAAATGAAAACCGCCCAACGACTTAAGAATAACAGCTTGGAGAACTGGTGCTCAAGACCTCTTAAACATCACATGGAAGTCTGACTCCTTAAAATCAAAGTATAAAGAGCTTAGAGGTGGCTCAATAGCTCAATCGTTAGATTTTATTCGTAGTGACGGCTTTATGATGCCACTACAAAGGTTGTGTTAAGTTCTGCTCGTTGATTTTAATATTTTCTGCCTATGATAACATAACTACATGAAGAATGAAATCCTTGATGTGCTGATCAGGATTCATTCATTCAAGCCCTGCAATGAAGTCATGCTTAGCTTGACATGTGGAGGAAAAGCATATTCTGCAAGCTGCTAATACAAATGTAAAAAAAGTATTTAAATTTTCATAACAAAACAACATATTTTTAATTTCATAGTGATACTATATTAGAGATGAGCAGTAGGTAGAGCTCACCTCCCATGTTGCACAGAGATCTGTGTGGTGGTAGATGTAGTTTCCATCCTGGTCCTTTGGATAAAAGGCCTTTCCAGGCTAAAATATATGCATAATGAAATACTTAATTAAAAGTGGTTATTTAAGCATATAATTTATAGTGACCTAAGGTGGCACAATGTGTTCATGGTCAAAACGCTTAAACAAAGAAACATACTGATTCCAGGTACCCAATCTTAACCAAACACTTGTCTACATAATCTTATCTGATTCTAATGTGTGTAATGTGGCAACGGCCAGATTTGAAGTATTTGCTATGCAGCTCCTGTGTTTGAACCCCTATTATCTAATTTTGTATTTAATAATTAAAAATACTTTATTGTAAAAATTAGTAAAATTATTTTTTAGAAACCTTGAAGGCCATTGGAAGCTCAATGACGTAGAGATCCACATAGTCCAGTTTTAAGGCTTTCAATGTCTTCTCTAAGGCTGGTCTCACCAACTCTGGTGGATGGAAGGTATTCCAGAGCTGAGAAAAATAACATTGCTGAATTTAAAAAACAATTTAAACAACCTGAACATTCAAATATCCAGGCAACAGAACATTGCAATAACATGATTAGTTCTTAAAGGTTTATAGGAATGAAAGTTGATTAAACAAAAGCTAACAAATACTACCTTTCCGCAGTAAAAGATGTCCTCTCTTCTAACGGTTCCATCAGCTATCTTCTCCCTAATGGCCTGACCCACTTCATGCTCATTGAAATATACCAACGCCCCATCAAAGTGCCTGTAGCCCACATCTATGGCCAGCTTGACACAGTCAAATGCAGTGCCTCTGGGTGTCTTTAGAAAATTCACAGAAAATATACATTTTATTTGATTTTTTTAAGCTACAGCCACAGTGTGTACTTCTCAGTGATCCTGTTTAACTGATGAAACTCAAATCACTAAAGGTAAATAAGTCTAATCTAAATCTAGAAATACAGAGACTACATGATATTTTCCTCACCGTTTGAGGGTCCCCATAGGTGCCAAGTCCCAGGAGTGGAATACTGTTACCATCACTTAAAGGGATTCTGTGGCTTTCCGCTGTTAGATTCATGTTTGTGTCCAACATGTGGACAATTGAACTGCAGCACACTTCTCTCAAGGCTAACCCATAGTTTGGCCATGAACCTTGAACCATGAAGACATAATCTTCCACTCAATTGCGCAAGTGACTTTAACCTGAACCAGAGCAGTGCGTCCATTTTTAAAACAGTTCTTCACCAGCTTTTCAGAATACCATTTAACTTGAGAACAAAAACACTCTTATAATCATAATCATATGTGAATATGACACCAGCACTTTGTGAGTATCTTTTCAGCAAACAGTGTTACAACGTTACAAAAAAAATGTCCATAGGCCTGGCTGAAGCCTGAAGCCAACAAAACCTAATGCATTTGAAATCCACACAGCCTATGATGAAGTGCCATAAATAAATAAAGTCACCAGAAGCATAACACAGTATTACTGTACTGAACTGAACCCTGTGTAAAGTTTCAGAGTAATAAGAATCAGGCAAACTCTTGCTGCTCGGTGGACTTTGTCCTCCAGACAGAACAGCACACAGCAGCCAGCGGCTCTCATGTCAAGATTTTGACCCCGCCCCACTCTTACCTCAACGAGCGCGTGCGCTCTAATTTGACCAACAACATCTGGGGCACACGCGCATGCGACACAGGTACCCTTTTTTTTCTTTAGTGATTCCTGTTTGTTGCAACAGTCCAAAAATTATTTTCCCCAAAATATCACACGTAGACAGTAATACACTCGACGCTTACAAATGCTGAACTGATAGAGAGAGCGCGGAGGACAACGCAGGTACGAAGAAGGCGCTCTCTTCGGCTAGAGAGCAATGAGATATAGCCTACGCTTCAGACTACCCTCCCTGTACGTGCCGTTGAATCAGAGTAAACTAGACTTGGAGAACAGAAACTGTTTCCGATGGATGCGATGGAAAAACAGGAGTCGGGACATACTGCTGTCCCGTCAGTCGAGAACGAAGCAGAGAGCACGCGAGAGGAGCGGTCCGGTGCACTCGACCAACATGACCTGGACACGTGCCCCGTTTGTCATCTAAGCTTCCACAGCAAGGAGCCCAAACTTCTGCCCTGCCTGCACACTTTCTGCGGGAGGTGCTTGCCTTTACCGTCGAGGAATCTGGACGTGACGGAACCGTCCGTCTCCCAGAGCGACAACGGCGCGACCAAACCACGTGAGTCACTTTGTTTACAAACACAGATCAAGGACCGATTAATGGCTGTCAACCTTTTCTACAACCAGAGTAGCTGCACGCACAACTGCATACATTTTACGAATGCTTGTAGCTACCTCTAACCACAATCACCTAAATGTCTAAATGTCATAAAAATATAATCTGATGGTAAATAATACCAGAAATGTACAGTTTTACTGATTTACACCAACACCTATGTTCCTGCTTGATTCCAGTAAACGTGATCCGCTGTCCGGTGTGCAGGCAGGAATGTATGGCGGCAGATGTGGTGGATAATATGTTCGTGAAGGAGTCATTCGAGGCGCCCAGCAGCACAGTGGAAAGAGCAGTCCAGGTTGGTAACAAATGAATTAATATCATTTTGGGGACAGGCTGGGTTTTTGAGGGTAATTATCAAAATATAACTATGTAAGTTTTACTTGTATTTTTTATTTGTCATTGGTCATGCAGAAAAAAAAACATTGCTCTTGTAAGAACCAGAATAAGGCACTAGATGATTTCCATTTGCAGGGATTTAATGGGCGGGTGCACACTATATTAAAGGGGATATCTGTATAAAAACAAAGCTACCTTGTCTTCTGTTGGTTTGTAGCTCTGAAATCTGGGCAGCAGAAGCAATGCTTGTCAGTAGAAACAGCACACTTGGATACTTCACTGATATCAACTTAGCAGATAAGGTTCATCATTGCATTCCCTTGATTGAACAAGAAATGGTAAAACATGTGCCGAGCCATCATCTCCATGTTTCCAAATATTTATTAACTTTTGATGCTTGACTCCTCTTTCTATAGCTCTGTATGACCTGCGATGACAACACAGAAGCTGCTGGGTTTTGTGTTGAGTGTGTGGAGTACTTGTGTACCACCTGTGTGGAGGCCCACCAAAGAGTCAAATTCACCAAAGACCATATGATCAGACAGAAGTCGGAAGTATCACAAGGTACTCAAACCTACCTGCTTATTTAGCTGTTTAAAAAAAATTAAATGCCTGTGCTGACGTATCATGTGATTCTTGCTACCGCAATATTTTAATGGGCAAAATGATACGTATACATCAGTATGCACTGCATGCTTTTTATACTGTAAGAATTAGTTTAAAAAATAACTATGGTGAGCCTTTTGCTGTTTTCCAGACGTTTGTGTTGTGTCGAGTCAGAGGCCGATGTTCTGTCATATCCACAAACAAGAGCCACTGAAACTCTTTTGTGAGACATGTGACCTGCTTACCTGTCGGGACTGCCAACTCACCAAGCATAAAGACCACAGGTACCGCATTGTTTCAGTAATATTGATGGTGGGATGTATATTATATATAATATATGACAGAGGTGGGAATCACCAGGCACCCCTCGAAATGATATCACAATACTCCACCCACATTACATTATTATTGCAATTTTTTTTCACCACTGTTCATGGATTGATTTGATTGATACTGTGATCTCTCCATGTGATGCATTTGAGGCGGAGAAAAAAATTCACTGAGAGATTAAGTTACACCCCCACCCGCCCAGTTCATTATGCATATTATGCATATTAACCTGTCTGTATTAACTCACTGATGTTTTTGAATTAGTTATCAGTTCCTTGAAGATGCTTATAAAAACCACAAAGAGCACATGGAGCATATGACTCATCAGTTACAGGAGAAAAAGAAACTGATAAAAGAGGTATCAGACTCCATAAATAGTGGGTATGTATTTCATTTTTCCTTAAAGATGTCTAGTTAAAAAAAGTCACTTCTTCCATATTAATAAATGTATATTTTGTTCTAAGTCACACTTCAAATGTATGTTTTTCAGACTTCTTCTGGTGGAACAGAACCGTACTTCTGTTCGTGATGAAATAAAGAAATCTGTCAGCAGTTTAATCCTCGCGATAAACAAAAAGGGCAAAATTGTACTTGATCAACTTGAGGTATGACAAAGACGATTACATGCAGCAAAACAATACTGTGTAGTAAGTGGAGTAGTTTGACTCTGTAGTCCTGTAGCTTGCTGTGGTGTTGTTTCCAGAAGAATGTTATTTGTATGGTGAGTTTCATGTGGCCTTGAGGCTCAGAGTGCCGCCGCTCAAGCTGCATTAACACTGCACTCCTCTTTTTTGTTTTCTTTTTTTGCAGGCTGTTACAAAAGATCATGAGAGTCTCTTGCGTAAACAACAGGAAGACATTGGCTATCTCTCCCAACACCTGGATCATGTCATCGACTTCATCAAATGGGCCACAGCCAAGAATGGGGGCACGGCCCTCTTGTACTGTAAACGTTTGGTGAGGCCTCTTTAATCAATTAGCCATAAAGCAGTATCTTGTCACAGTCTTGTTTTCCTGATCTCAGGTCGTCTTTAAGCCTAGTATGTCTCGGATGTGATGAAGCGCAAGCATATGGCTTTTGCAGCATGCATGTTCCTCCTCTGAAAATGACTGATAACATTCCTTCTGTTTGCAGATTCTGTTTCAGATTGAAAACCTCCTTCAGGCAAAATGCAGTGCTTCATTCGTACCGCAGAGCACCATACGCTTCCAGTGCCGAGCCTCTTACTGGGCCTCAAATGTCGATTTGGGTAAGAGATTAACAAATGATGTGATCCACAGCCATGAGAATGAATGGATTATTTGTTTTCTGCTCCAGTAAACTTGTGTACCTTGAAACTTTATTTCAGTTTTAATTAATAATTTTAGGGGCATTCTTCTTCCATAAGATTGTATCTGTGGTGGTGATCTAAGTGAGACTTGCACAGTATTAATAAACAGGCATGAGGAGAGTCAGATGGTCACGGGGAGTTAGCTGGAGGCCAGTAAAACTTGGATGACAAATCCTATTATTTATTAATGCATTTGCACTTCTCTCTCACACAATGTCAGTTTTACTCTGACTGTTTTGAACTACCTTCATTTTTACTGTTATTTGTTTTGTTTTGTTTTTTTATCACTGTTGTAAATATATAAATTCCTGGACTATCTCATACTATAAGCCCCCTTACTAGGCACCTGTGGCATTTTATTTAATTGTGTTGTTTACATGGTGTGTACTGTACTGTTTATACTCTTTATCATGCTACTGTAACACAAAAATTTCCCTTGTGGGATCAATAACGTATCTATCTATCTAAATGAAGGATTTATTGAGAGCAGAGCTCAACATTAAATGAAAATCCTTGTCTAGCTGTTTATATTCATCTGAGGCTGACAATCATAATGAAATGCAACATCTGTCTAATTTAGTCAACAGAAGTGTCTGAAGAAAGCAGAATTTCCATGATTGTAAACTGGATACATAGCATTTTGAAATATAAAAACAAGCAAACTAATGCCATCACATTTTCACAGTTTATACAGTAACTGATTAAATGGAACAAATTAATTGAAATTGTTATCTTTTGTTGCTTATATCCAATTGTAACCCAAGTTAGCATAGTTTTACTTACTAACTGCCTCGAGTTTTACATATATCTCCCCCCACAGTTCTCTGGAATTTTCTTTCTGTACTGTATATATTTCATCACCCCCTGTTATGCTCATCCTGTCTCTGTGTGTATGTCCTCTCAGGCACTTTAATGGTGGAGAGTGTACCAGGCCACCAGCTGGATGGTTTTCATCATGAGCACATCCACAGTGGGCAGAGTTCCTCAGGCTCACCCCACAGCTTTGCCCCGGGAGCTCCCCATAGCACTCTGGCTCAGCTCCAGATGCAGGTGGACAAGCTAAACCCCCAAGCTCACTGGCAGCCCCAACCACCTCCTCCACCCTGCACATGGCACCAAAGCATCCAACTACAGCAAACAGTCCCAGGGCCCCTACAGAGAGTCTCTCCCTCCCACAGTTTGCCTCCCCAACCAGACCACAGGTTTACGAGGCCTCTGCCCAACCATGTTAGCTCAACTAGGAGCATACTGAGCCCTGGATTTTCTCCCCAGGTTACTGTGTGTTTCTTTGTGTGAGTGTGGGTGTGTGCTTGCCTAAGTTTGACTGACAAGCCTTCTTAACAAGCACAGACATCAGATGGCATTGTCCTAAATAGAGCCGACAGCTTTCACATCCTGAGCAATTTATGTCTTTCCTTGTCAGGAAGGATTTTAGTCTTGGATGAAGTTATAGTTCAAAAATAAAGTAAATCAAATAAATCTGCATGACAAACAGCAAGCCAGCATGTAACAGAGGACAAAGGGGAAACTTCTTGAGTAAGGCTTGATAATATCTTCTTATTCAAGTTGTTTAGTCTGCTTCACTGGATGTTTGGGTTTCAATTCTGCAGCAGGACAATACTGGCATGTAAAGTGCAGACATTTGTTTTCTACTGATGTGAACAAGTTGTTAAAGCTGCACAGGAAACTAGTAGTAAAGAAGCAGCAGTCTTTTGCAGACAAATCTGGTAAACTGATTGAGACTTTTCAAAGCATACTGTGGTCACTTTGCATTGGGTTTTTAGATTGTGGCCTTTTTTATCACATGCAGTAAAATGATTGTGGCATGCTCTCCCTTTTTCTGTATTGTCTCCATTCATCATAGTATCAGCAGAGAAGTACAGGAAGTGGCTCCACCTACCAAACCAAGCCCATGGATGGATTTTTCTCTACACCTCTCTATGCACAAATAACTCCGCCACCCCTCAGTGGTAGTGTCAGTTTACCTCATTCACAACAGAAGGTAAGCAACTTCCTGTATTGACTGAAGGCATTGTCATGGTATAATATCTGCTTTTAAGTAATTGATTTGCAATGGTGTGTTTAGTCTGAGCCCACATATATGACCAGGAGAAATAATTCAAATGGTCCAATGTATACAGTGAAACCAAACTATCCTCAGGGAGCAGAAGCTTCCTTGTCAAGCAGAAATGGTATGTTTGCAATTATTTTTGCATATTGTTTTTTTTTTTTTGCAGTTTTTGTAACATAGAGAATATGTGTAATATTGTATTTTTTATAATGGTCAAATGCATTGTAAACTTTTCTGAAGCACCAGGACATCAAAGTTCAGTGGTGTACACTCCAGTATCCCAGAAAAAAACAAGGTAGGGGGGAGCAGTATGCGCACTTTTGCAAGTATACAAGCACAGATTATCTCTTTGTTCTGTTATGGCACTATTAACTCTGTGATATGGGTCTCTTAAGTGAATTTATCTTTGATTGATTTTTGCTTTGTTCCCAAGCAGCATTTTTTGGAAAGCCCCAGAAATACACCAGGCTAGTGGAGCAGTGGGATCGGCTGCAAAGAAAAGACAACGATCATCTCCAAGGCCTATAATTGTCATCAAAGATGAGCTAGATGATGATAGTAGTTATGTAAGAAGGGAATGATTTATTTCAAATACTGTATAGCTTTTTATTGTTGCTAGTTGCTTTTATCTGTAACTTCACAAGTCACAAGTCAGTGTATTCCTACTGCTGTTCCCAAGCCCGGATAAGCAGTGAGGGTTGTATAAAGAAGGGTAAATCTTGGCCAGTTCAACCATGCATATCTTAAAGAATGAGATTTCCATATTAGATCAGCATTAACAACAACTGCCTTTGGTCTTGTTGGCCAATAGGGTCCCTTTGGAAACTGTGCTACTGTAAGCTGAAGACAATGAAAGAAGAACGGGGAAAGGCGTGTTAGGAGGCAGTGAGAAAGAAGGAAAGACAGGAGTTTGGGAGGTGAGAGTAGGGACTTTAAATGTAGGTACTATGATTGATAAAGGGAGCAGATTGGATGCCATGATGGAGAGAAGTAGGGTAGATTTATTTTTTGGGGCAGGAAACCTGGTGGAAGGCAAGCAAGGCCAAGACCATTGGATGTGGATTCTACCATGGTATCGAAGAGAAATTGAGTAATCTTGAAGGAAAAGATTAGTATTGTTGAGGTGAAGGTGGCATTACACAGAATTATGAGTATGAAGCTGGAAAAGGGGTCACCTTGAATGTTGTCAGCGCATATGTCTCACAGGTTGGATGTCAGAACAGAAAGGGGAATTCTGGAGTGAGGTGGATGAAGTGTTTAGACTGTGTCCCCAGTAGTGATTGAAGCAGACTTCAGTGGACATGTACAGTACTGGTGCTTACTGATCGTCACCTCTCTTTCCCATAACTTCATGGTATGTCTCATCAGCTTTATCCCTCTATAGTTACTACAGATCTACACATCATGCTTATTCTTGAACAGCGATATCAGTACACTTCTCCATTCCTCAGGCATCCTCCCACTTTCCAAGACTGTGTTAAACAATCTGGCTAAAAGTGATTAAAAAGATGATTGTGATTGTTTAGCATCTTAAGGTGGATGTTGTTATGATTTGGAGCTGCATAAATGAATTGAATATTATGAATGACTGGCAAATGAAAACCAAAGTTTCCCTTTAAACTTCCATATTTGATCAGTACATCAACAAATCAGGTGTCCACCTATAAAATGGGCTTACTCATTGTTTCTCAAAGAGGAACACAGGATTATATATATACACAGGGGACTAATTAACTCAGCAAGCAGCAGGAAGTAGAAGAACACAGGTAAAAGCAATGAGCAATATGTGAAAACAATTTGGGCAAGGATGGCAATCACAGAGGGAGGAAGAACAGAAAGTAGGAGGAAACACAACAGATAGCTCACCTCTAAAGTAAAACAGGAAATAACCAGAAGACAAAGATTAAACTCATAGACAAGAAGACTCAAACTAGACATGATATCAAAGACGGGAAAAGGCAGTGATGCATAAATCGTATTTAATAATACATGCATAAATAATTGTATAGTATTGTAGTGTCTTGTACATAAGAATTTTATTTTATTTTATTATTTTTCCCCTTTTTTCCCTTTAGATTTTCAGTGTACACTGAGGGCCATGGGAGCATTGCCGTTTCAAATTCCTGTGTATAACTGTACATATGGTCTTTGACTTTGACAAATACAAGACGGTGGAAGGAATAGACAGGGAAATGTTGTGTAAACTAAAACTACTACTACTACTATTATTATTATTATTATTATTATTAATAATAATAATAATAATTCAGTAATAACCAATCATGAAAACTTTCAGCACCATGATAAATCTGTAAAATGTTGGTTATGTTATTTTCAGATCTTGTTTTCTTGTTTTCAGGTACATCCCAAACAAAGAGCCAGCCTCCCCGACAGCACAGATGACCAACCCCCAAAAAATTCCCAAGGTGAAGATGTCCAGACTTGTATACATAGCACAGACAACAAACCCTGTTGCCCTTCACACACTCAAAGTGAGCCACTGGGCCAGAGTAAGACTGGACCTCCAACTCATATCAGTTCAGTGGGGGAACAGCAGCAGGTAGAGCAAAATAAAACCCAACTGGAAGACTCTAATGAGGCCTCGTGTGCTGTGTGTCAGACTACAGGACAGCTGTTGTGCTGCCAAAAATGTCATAAAGCTTTTCATCTGACGTGCCACGTTCCAGCTCTCCTCAAATCTCCAAGGTCAGCTCCATCAAACTTTATTTATTACTGGTCTTGGATGAAAATGCCACAGCTCATATGTTTTCATTTTAATAGCAAATCAATCGCTTGTTTTCTTTGTGGAATTAAAAGCACGTCAGAACAAATCCACTTTTGGCAAGTTGATTTTTACATCTTGGAGGTGTGAGATTTACATCTGACTGCAGCATTATGCATTTGTTGATGTGAGTTACTGCTTACTGGCTGTTGTATTGAGTCTGTAAATGGTCTCTTTTTCAGCAGGGAATGGTTTTGCACTTTCTGTTGTGACCTGTTAATGCCTGAGATGGAGTATGTCTGCAAACCTGAAGCCAAAACGATAAAGAAGGAGACGGATTTTGAAGGAGCATTTTCCCCTGTGGACAAACGAGTCAGTGCTTTTTTTTTTTTTTTAAATGATTTACTACCATTTATGTAATTATAATAATGATAATACTACAATAGCCAAATGACTTGAATGCCAAGTAATTCAAATTAAGTTCAGAATTCAGCATAATCTGATAAGTCATGTACTTTCCAAATTTACAGCCATTTTGTAAAACACCAGTAAGCAGCATCTTTTTTAAAAAACAAATCCACTCATTCATTAACAGAGAATCACCAATTATCATTATGACTACATTATATAAGATATAAACCATAAATACAGCTGCGTTCTCTGCAATAAGATGGATCATCCCATCTTACCTAAGTTTGATCCACCAGTTGTCTTAATATAGGCCGAATGTCTGAATGTTCAAATTTGGTCTTTTCATTCTCACATTCAGCACATTTCAGATAACTTTACATTTATAGAAATACTCGTCTCGGTTTATGTGGGGATGTTACTTGATCATAGTGTGTAGGAAGCAGAAAACTTGTTAGTTTATATGACATTACTTTAATTTGTAACCAGCGCTTATGTTCCTAAATGTAAGATTTTAAATCATGGGTACAAACACCAATAAAAAATAGTAATTGTAAATAGTAAAATAGTGCAGCTCATCTGCTTTTCCCTGACCAGGAGTGTCAGTCAATTGTGAGTCTGCCAAGTAGCTCTCTTCCACAGCATGTTTTTTTTTTCATGTCTTTCTTCTCTCGCCCCAGCCAGTCGTAGCGGATGGTCACCCCTCCCTGAACCTGGTTCAGCCGGGTTTTCTTCCTGTTAAAAGGGAGTTTTTCCTTCCCACTGTCACCAAAGTGCTTGCTCACAGGGGGTCATATGATTGTTGGGATTTTCTATTATTGTAGGGTCTACCTTACAATATAAAGCATCTTGTCATCAAGTATAAATAAAATTGAAATTTAAATAGCTTGGGTTAGAAGGGAGTTCCTTGTCTAATTTTGTGTTTGTTATCTTAACAAGAAAAGTTCTGTTTTTTTAAAAAAAATAACATGCATAAAGCAAATGTTTGATGGAAAAAGTAAATGTGTAGTCAACCTGTACGTGATAGCTGTTAGGTTAGCTAATATTCTCATCTGCTCCTGCAGTGCACTGCCTTCTCCTACGTGCAACCAAGACTTGTGCTATCACACTAGGGTCTTGTCTGCTGGCTCAGTCTTCAGCTACGCAGTTCATTTTCCCAGGAGATTTCACCTGCTCTTCCAAGTACAACACTGCCAGAACAGGCGGTGGAGGCAGGGAGTAGAAATAAAGACGTCATTCACCCTGTTACAAATCAGTTTACAATCAAAAGGATTTCAAGGCTGTTATTTTTATGGTAAAACATTTACATTGCTTTAAAACAGTGGTTTGTTAAACTTAGTATCTGAAGGGCTAGATGCCTGACATTGCATCATGCATTTAATAACTGATAACAACTGGTAAGAGTGCAAGGGCTGAGACAAAGCAGAATGGTGTCGAGGGAGATCCTGAGAGACGACTCTTACCAGTTTAATATTCTGCTTGACACACCACAGATGGGAGAAATGTATTTGGTTGTTCTGACATGTATTAATTCAGGCTTATTTTTTGTGTTGCAGAAGTGTGAGAGGCTGTTGCTGTACTTGTTTTGCAATGAGCTCAACTCAGTCTTTCAAAAGTCTGCATCTCTCTTGGTGAGTCTGAAAGTAAGACTGACTATAGTGGAAAAAATAACAGGATTACTGTCAGATAGAGTTACTGTAACTGTAATTTTAATTGTATGTAATACACCATATTTCTCAGTGATGACAGAAATTAGAAATCAGAGGCAGAGCAGCTTTACTGTAAATAAACCGTAAGTTCATTGCAGGCCCAGAACTTGCAGTGTTTGATAATTGGACTTAAGGGGTCAGTGTGATTCTGGTGGTTTGGCTTGAAATAGCTGTTTATTTTAACTTTTACATGGCAAAACAGGGTAAAACTCCATAGTCCCATGTGCGTGCTGTTTACATGTAGATGGACACCACAGATTTGAAAAAACTAAAATGCCAATAATGTGTTATTGTTCTGTTATCATTTCCTTTCTAAATACTACAGGTACATGCTGATGGCAGTCTGACTATAAAGGGACCAGTGAGTTTTTCCACAGTGAAAAACCGTCTAGAGGCTGAGCAGAGTATGTGCTATCAAAACCCCGCAGAGTTTGTATTAGACATCAGGCTCATCTTTGGAAACTGTGTGGCCTGCAGTGAGGTACCATAGACAAATACTCTGAAACAATAACTGTTATTCAGTTCTTGACATCTGTTATTAAAACTGTTTCATCCTTTTCGTTTTATCTTCCTTCAGTGCCAGAGTAACACTGAACTTGCCGTGACATGTATGAGATTTAAAGAACTCTTTGAAGATTATCTGAAGCTCATCTACCCTGATCAGACCTTCCCAGAAATCAAACCAGAGATGATTCAGACTGCTTCACCCGATTGTCAAGATTCTCAACTCCAATCTCTTGACAATATATTCCCACTTGCAAAACGCCAACGCACATATTCAGATTCCCAGGATGCACCAAGCTGTCACAGTGGAGAAGAGGGTATTGGATTAAAGCTCCAATTTTCCTAAACAATTGGATATGTACCAGATGGCACAAAGAATGTGTGGTGTGTACTGTTTTATTAAAAAATATTGCCTTCAAGTTACCAAATACATTTTAGTTTTAATGATTAAATGGTATTGCATGACAAGAATTATCAATTCAGACGTCAAATGGTACTTTTTTGTGTTCAAATCAGAATTAAAGCTAGTAGGTTTTGCAGTATTTCTACTTCTGACTGAAACCTGACATTTTAGTTAAATGGTAAATGGCCTGCATTTGTATAGCGCTTTGCTCAGTCCCTAAGGACCCCAAAGCGCTTTACACTACATTCAGTCATTCACACATTCACACACTGGCAATGGCAAGCTACATTGTAGCCACAGCTAGTTGTTCTTTTGTTACTACTCCTGTAATCAAATGACAGTAATCACAACTCTCAGGTTTCTATTGTTAAAATGTGTTTCAAGGCCCCTCACAGCCAGAACATTAATAGCAAATTAAAATAATCGAATATTCAAGACAGATACATTGTGCAGAATATTTCTGTTTGCCCCGGTTTGTCAGGCTTTATTTACACAGTGCAAATCTATAGTTTTCACAACGTGAAGGAAAATGCAGTTTTATTTACCATCTTTTAATGTATATTCTGGCTTCTTTATATTATATATTCTGGTGACACTGCCCATGTAACAATATGTGTGATTATATCTGTCAGGGGCATAATGTTGACGTAAAAAGCTTTCTTATAAACATAAGGCATGGAGAATGGTTTTCTCATCACCAGAGGTCAAAACATTTACGCAAAGACCTTCCTGCATTCAGGTCAACTTGCATAAATGAACAAGTATAGTAACTATTATTCCTTATATATTGAGTAGCAGCTCCAGCTAAGGTTTAATGTTCTACACCTTTTTTGCTCGGTAGCTCCATGTTAATTGAGTTTAATGTTGTTCTACAAACTCCTTTGTGTCCCACGGGGCAGATTTCAGTCTGCCTTTGATGTGTTTGTGACCCTCTGCAGATTGACATAGACGTGGCAAGACTAGCTTTAAGGAGCTTCAAAGGAGCTGCGCTACACCCCCAACAACAAGATTAACACTGTTTGAATGCGACCTTGGCCACTCCAATTTCCTTCACCTATTAGCTTGCAAGTCAGCTCATGCTGCGTTTACTTGTTAAAGACCAAATGTAGATTTGAGGTGGAGCGAAGGAATGAGGCTTAGTTGTTTTTGGTGGACTGAAAGGCATGGGAAGTTGCCCTCTGACTGTTCTCCAGCCAGCTGGACTGGAAGCATGGCAGGGTCCTGGCTTTCATGTTGGACATTCTTCATTCCTTATATGGCATATTATCTCTTATTAGATAAGATTAGGATTGGTCAGCACTAAAGGCTTGCCCTTTGTTGTGATAATTCTAAGAAGGGGTTGCTATGTCTTCGGCTGATAGAGGATTCCAGGAACTACATATGCTTTACTATAGTAGAACTACAGTCTTAACCCAAAGGTACAGCACACAGAGCACCCCCCCCCCC